GAATGCCTACGGCATCCGTGAGAAGGGCAAGTCCCAGTTGTTTCAAATACTTTGCCGTGATAAAGATCCGTTGACAGTGAGGTCGCAGATCGTGCACCTGGGTATCCCCAAGCTCGAATCGGGCACAGACCCGACCGAGGTCAAGGAACTTTTGTTGAAGTCTGTGCACAAAGCTTAAGCTGCATGCGTGGGTGTTTGGAGAGCGGTTTCCAAACGGAGATGCCTTGGGAGTTGCATCTGTAGCCTATGCTAGCTGTTTTAAGCGGCCAGATTTTTGTCTGGAGTGTGCAATCGTCGGACGATCCGGGCCTCCAAAAGTTGCTGGCAGAGTGCCCAGCCATGCTATTTTTGCGATCTAGGCTGTCATGCATGATTGAGGTGAAGAGGAGCTGCAGTGTGCATATTTATCGAACCCTAATATATATATATATATATATATATATATATGCATGTTTCTACATTTTACTTAATTTATATATATATATATATGCATACTTAAACCCCAAACCCAAAACCCTGAATCTACTCGGCCAGGTACTATCGTCGGTGGCTTCGAGGATCCCGGACAGGTGCGTTTGCGTGGGCGGCTTCCGTTGCAGAGTAATATATATCTAAGAGACCAGGTTAACGTGTGCATGCACGGGACATGCATGCATGTGTGTGTACACATGCACATGTATACATACATGCATGCATGCATGCTTGCGGCCCAGGTTCTGGATCCGGCTCCGATGCTTCTGCAGTGCAGGGTTTAGGGTTTTAGGGTTCAGGGTTTAGGGGTTTAGGGGTTTAGGGTTTAGGGGTTTAGGGTTTAGGGTTTAATAGGGGTTTAGGATTTAGGGGTTTAGGGGTTAAGTTAAATTTAGGGTTTAGGGATTAGGGTTTAGGGGTTTAGGGTTTTAGGGTTTAGGGTTTAGGATTTAAGGGTTATAAAACAAAAGCATAATTTTGCGATAATCCTCGACCCCGAGGCGTGAGATCCTCATCGCTCGGCTTTGGGATGATGTGCTTCCGAGGGTTCTTTTTTAGTTATTGTGGTGTATAATCTTAAGGAGCTCAGAAGCTCCTAATGTACGATCGTAGCATGCATGCATGATGTAAAGACCGAAACACCGACTTAGAGCTCTGCGTGCAGGAGCTTCGTGCTCCTGAATTATAGAGCTATAATATATATATGCTCCATATATGTGCCCAGGCCGCTGCCGGGTTGGCATCGGTGCAGATCTGCACTGCAAGGACGATCGAGCTGCATGTCTGATGTGCAAACACGTGCAGAGGTCGTTGCATGCGTGGCATTATATCTAGAATGAAGGTGCATGCAGTACGATTGCAAGCACTTGGCCCGAGACGACCAAAGCTATTAGCCCTCCCTTCGAACCAACATCCTCGGATCCATGGGGAACGACCTTGGTAAGGCATTGCAAGGAGCCGCTGATGCCGTCAACAGCAGCTCAGGACAGCAAGGCCAGCAAGGCCAATTGCCGTTCCCGAATGCATGGCCGATCGGCGTGAACCCTGCATTCCCGCCCCCAGCACCAGCACCACCCCAGCAGCAGTGGGGCCAGCAGTGGGGCCAGACAAACTGGGATCCCAATGCCCAGAAGAATAAGAAGCAATGGGCGAAGAAAACGTGGGAGAAGGGCGGCTCCAATGAGGGCTGGTCCAATGATCACGGCTCGGGATCCTCTGGTGGATCTGGCGGCAACAGCGAGTACCTGCGAGGATGTAAGGCCTGCGGTCGAACAGGTTATCTTCGGAATGGCCTATGCCTGAACGAAGAATGCGTGGCTGGGACAGCAAGCAGTATAGAGGCTACGACTATATATATAGGAGCCAGTAACTTAAGCTCCTGAAATTAACATTTAAGGCCAAAATCACCAAACCCCCAAACCCTAAACCCCGAACCCTAAAATACATGAACCCTGGGATCCGAGGTGTAATCTTTCCTAGACGAAAAACAGAAAGCCTGCCACAATACAATTCCAGTCAGCTAGCATGTATTATTGGAATGAATTAAAATCATGCACCTATAGACGGACCCTGACATATATAGTTTTAGCGACAATATTATATATATATATATATATACATATATATTTCGTTGTCTTTATCAATCTACTCAATATCTTTCTGTCGTTCGAAGCATTAATTAATATATAGCACCGAACCATTAAAATTAACCCAAAGTCTCGCGAACTTAGGCCTTGAGCATCTGGGGGCAGGAGACGACAAGTGTCGGAAAGCGGCTCCATGCATGGGGCAACAAGGAGAGCGTGGAGGATCTTGGAAAAAAGGTGCATGGTGCCAGGACGAGACCTACCACCAGGGGAACCAAAGGCCAGAGGCACCGCTCGTGGTGGATGCAGAAATCGCCGGAAGAACAACGGATGATCAAAATCGAACAGTTCGAGAAGAAGAGGAAGGAGATGCCCGGCGTGATAGATCTGCTGGCGGAGGATCAGGAGGAGGAGGAAGAGACGGAGGAGGAGCCGCCACTCGACAATGGCCAACCGGATAAAAAGCGTCGCTTCGAGGATGACGATCATAAGGACAATGATGGTTCCGGCAATGGCGATCCTAACCTGGGGCCCGTACCACTGCCTGCGGGCAGTTGGGTGCTGTAGATCATGTTTCAGTGTTCGATCAGGATGATCCGCGAGCAGGCAGTTTCAAGAAAAGAACCGGTGCCTTGTTCTAAATGTGCTTAAAGGAGCCCATGGCTCCTGCCATGATATGAAGCCACCAAAGCTTAAAGCACGTCTGCAAAACTTCAAGAACCCTGTGTTCAGGAGCCGTCGGCATGTACCCAGAGAGGCCGGATATGTTTGGGTGTCCGGGCTAAGGGCCTGGAGCAGGGTTTCTTACATTTCAGCATGCAGTGCATGTGTTCTCTTGCACTGATCGATGGACATGTTGTGTGTGGCCCTCTGTGCACAGCTCCACTTCTATTCGCTGGCCCAGGGTCAGCGACTTTCGCTTGGCCGGACGAATGCTTGCCAGGGCCCAGCAGCTTTATAAATCGGTGTCTTCAGGCTTTGGGAGTTGAGGGTTCAGGGGTTTAGGGTTTAAGGTCGGATTTGTATTGAGATGATATATGATCTTCGGGTGTCAGGGCTGCATGATATTCCTATGTATAATTATATCTATATATATATATATGTACACATATATATATATATGAATATATATATATATATATATATATATATATATATATATATGTATATATATATATATATACATATATATATATATATATAGATACATAATATATATTATATATATATGTATATATACATATATACATATATATATATATAATTCATATATATATATTTTTTTTTATATGTATATATATAATTGTAGATGTGTGACATTCCGTAGCCCTGAAGGCTGAAGGTGGAGCAGAGCTCCATGTGAACTGCCATGATCGGCAGAAGCCAGCATGTGAATGATAGGCTTGACACATAGCATAGGCTAGTTCCGAGAACAGCACGTTGTGTCGCCGTTGAGGAAAACAATTCGACGTTCCGTCGTAAGCCCATGGTGATACGCCCCTGGTCTGTGCATTGAGCCTGACTGTCATTACAACTTACATGGCTACGGACACCAACAACCCAAATGCCCATGATCTACCAGGGCATCGACAGGTTATGACTAGCCCAAACGCTGCTAACGCGCGGATACCTGACGAAGCGGGAGGAACTCGGTTGTTGAACGGAGTTCCAGGCCCCCTTCGTGGAGTGAGCGATATTGACAGCGAAGTGACGACTATGCCGGCAAGCTTTGGTCCGACACCTCACTCTATGCGAGCCCCGTTGAATGAGCAGCTGACGAGTACAGCAGCAGCTCAACCCACTACGCGGCCTGGATTGGCTGGAGGTGGGTTTCTGGTGGGCCCAGAAAGGCAAGGAGTCGAGATTGAACGAGCTCAGGCATTCTCGGGAGACGCTGACCCTTTGGCTGGGATGGCCCAAGGCACGGTGCTTACTGAGATTCGTGGACAAGTCAGGACTGACGCGGTGGAGGCTACAGGTATGCTTTCGGGCATGCTGCGAGCAGTCCAAGGTGTTCCCATGGCAATGGATGCCACGGCGAACCGCTCAACTTCAGTGCATTCTGCTGGGATGTCGGCCGGAAGGCATGATGACAGTGTGGAGTATGCTTCGGTTAGGACCTCGACTCCGTGCTGTACATCTGAATGAGGGATCTGCCCAAGCTGGACTGTTTGATCAGCAAGCGTTGGACAGACTTCAGAGGATGCAAGATCAGGCGCCACTGTTGTATCCACCTGATGCCTCAAATCTTCCCCGACCGCCTTCGACAACGTCGAGTGATCTGCAAGCGGAGGTGCGCCGACAGTTGGCGGACATGATGAGATTGAGAGATGAAGAGAGTAGGAGACTTAGGGCTCAGGTAGAAGCGTTGTCCTACGAGAATCAGAGCCTAAGGCTCAGGATGGAAGCCGGTGTACAGGATGGAATGCACCCTTCGAGATCTGAGGGTTTTGGGAGCTTTGGATTTCCTAGCTTTGGTTGGTTTGGAAGAGGATTGGGATCTCTGATGGGCCCCTCACGACCCACCCGCGGCTTGGAATCGGCCATTGGAGTTTCAACTCCGAGACCCCCTCCTGATCCTTCACCACCGCCTCAGGTCTTGGACTTTCAGCACCAACCGATTGGAGCTTCACCCCAGGAGGGTGTTCAACGTCAGCCACTGCCACCAGTCCCTACACCTGGCCCTGGACTTTCGGGCGAATTTAGGGGATTTAATGGTTTAGGCTCTGACCCTCTAGAGACCCCTGGGAATACCAATGCGAGTAAGGATGTAGGTCCTCCCCAAGCAACCTCGGCACCTCCTGTGAGTGACTCTCCACCTCTAAGTATGCCGCATCCACTTGTTGACAACTACGGTAGAAGTCAGAGCATGCCCAACCCAGGAAACCCTAATTCCCTGGGACGGATCAGGGACTGGACCCTATGAGTATTGTCCTCACGGGAATGGCGCAACTTCAGAGTGTTGTGAGTGAGCTCGCCAGTCCGAAGGCCTCAGAACGTCCAGAGGTTATTAAGCCGGGAGTCCTAGCACTCCCCGAGCTTCCCAGCCATAGTCCAGAGTCATGCCTTGCATTCGCGGATTGGCTGCATGTAACCAAGCCGGCCCTAGCAGATGTAAGTGACACCTCAGAGCGACTGTGGGAGTTGACCCTGGAAGAGGCTAATGCATGGTACTGTAGTTACTTGAAGATGGGACCATTAGAGCGCCTAACTGCCAAGCCAGTCCCCTCATCTGAGCTTAGCCAGCCTAAGTGGACCCGTGTATCCCGACGCATTGAATCTATGATTAACACGGCCTGCCCCTCGGTAGTTCGGGAAGAGGTATCTGCCTCAAGGACTTCGGGACTTCTCGCCCTTGTCTGCAAACTGTACGTTATCTACGGTCCGGGCAGCTTAACAGAGCGAGAATTAGGCCTCAAGCATATCTCAGATCCTCCAGCGTGTACTGGAGTAGCCGACGCTATTGAAGCGCTGAGAAAGTGGAAGCGCTGGTGCTCCCGGATGTCTGAGCTTGGGGGCATTTTGCCCGACAGTGCTATCTTGGTCCGAGCCCTGACAAAAATCACTAGATCCGTGCTCCTCCAACATCCGGAGGCCGCCTTCCGCATCAATCTTGCCCGGGCAGAGCTTCAGGTAGATGTGGTTCCGGATAGTGATAAGGTTGCTAAACTTCATGCTCAAATGTTGAGTGAGCTGGAGTCGATGACCCATCGGGGTGATAAGGACCGCGAACGGCAGCCGAAGGAGCAACCAACAGCCTCACCCCCTCCACCTAAGGTAAAGGGAGTGGAAGCCACGACTAGCCCTGATACCCCTCCAGGGGGACGACCTCCGAAGCCCCCTAAGGCTGGCCCGAAGGGATCGCCTTCACCGAAGGGCAGTGATCAGCCTGCGGCAGGGACTTCTAAGATTCCGTGCACCTTTTACACTGGGGTTAACGGTTGTAAGAAGGGAAGTGAGTGTACCTTTGAGCATAACTGGTCGAACTTTAGCTCGGCAGAGAAGGCAGCGAGGTGTAAGATGTGTGGGTCTAAGTCGCACAAGGCAGCTGACTGTAAGGCGGGTTCTAAGCTTGAAGATAAGGCTAAGGCCCGGCCCCAACGACAGCCTAATGCGCCTAAGGGGCCCCAGGAAGCCGTGCCTGCCCAGCTCCAGACTCCAGGTCAGGATGGCAGCCAACACATTAAGAGCATGCTAGCTGATGCAGCAAGGTTTCTTCAACAAGCCGTCCCGCCTCCGCCTCCTTCGGCTTTAGGACCAACCCAGCCTCCAACAGCCAATCCGATTTCAGGTTCGCCGGCAACCCCGCAGCCAAAGGCTCACGCACCGTCAACAGCGCAGGGTACACCGGTAACTCTAGCCTCTTTGAGTGCCCAGTTGGATAACTTGAGGGCGATGGTTGGGAACCCTGAGGTTCGCACTTGTAGAGTAGGAGCTGAAGAGACTGAGGAGGTATCACTTAGCGATCTAATGAAGGGTCGAACTGCACTGTGCGAAATGATTGAGAAGTACGAAGCAAAGGTGTGTAAGGGTTGCCCTGATCTACCGGCAATTTCGACCGCCCTCCTCGATAGTGGAGCGACTCATGCGGTTGTCCCCTATGGCCCTAACCTGGGTAGTCTGGACCGAGTGCCCGTCACCTTAGCAGGAGATGCGAAGGAAGAGTGGTGGAGAACTCAAGGCGGAACGTTAGTCGTTCCACCGAGCCAAGACAGCACTCCACAGGCTACGTGTGGCCAAACTATCCTACCGTTGGGAGCCCTAGTTGAGCACTTAGGCTGCCAGGTTGTGTGGAGTAGAAGGAAGGGACTCAAAGTCACACACCCTACCCTAGGGGTGCTTCACACAGGAGTGTCGGGAAATACGTGTCCATACGTTCAAGAAGCACAGGCTCTTCAACTCATAGCCGAATTAGAGCAGCGCCGCCTTGACCAACTTCAACGACAGGTCGACACGCTACAGTGTTGCCTCCAGGAGGCAACAGCACCCACAGACCCCACCGTTGCCCTGAGGAGGTATGCGAAGTCTGGAGAGAGGCGTGACGCCCTCTCTGCCATCCTCGCCCAACCGTACCTTCAGGGACTTCCGGAAGGGCTACTTGCGGAGCTAGCTGAATCGATTCCTGTTAGCGACCCTGATGTCGATAGGGCAATGCTAAAGAGGCTCCCTCTAAAGAGAGCTTCGAGGCGCGGCCTTCTTGCCACCAAGAAGTGGGTAGTGCATCTATGCTCTGGACCCTCGAGGACCGGGGACCCTATAGCAACCTGGTGTTTGGAACAAGGAATGGGATTCCTTCCGGTTGACCTTCAGCAGAAAGGGGGAAAGGGTTGGGATCTCACAAGGTCGGGTTCTGTCTGGAAAGTGCTACTTTGGGCGGCCGCCACCGGTAGGATCGCAGCAGTGTTTTCTTCACCACCAACCGAGTGTTCAGGAAAAAAGGAGAGACTGTGCCTCCAGGCTCGTGTACTGTGGTCCTTGGCCTCCACTGTGATAGGGGGAGGGATTCCATATCTAGAGGAACTCCGTCAATCTGAGTTCGGGCCCTCTGATGCCTTCCAGCACTGGTCAGGCACCAATGCGATTTCCTTGTATCAAGGGGCACTCTCCCGAGATTATGAGCGCCCAACTAGGATTGTGACAAACCTTGATCTTTCCTTCCTGGCAACCCTTTCCAGATTTGGGAGCCCGGACACCCCACCAAAAGGACGGGAGTGGACAATGGAATTTCGTAGGGAAATAGTCCTGGCCCTTAAGGGGAAGGCTTCAGGGCCCTCAGTTGAACATATGGATCGTGTAATCTCCGAAGCCGCCACCCGTGGTACCCCGAGTGAGCGCAGCTCCTCACTGACTCGCTTGCAGGATCAGTCTGAGGCCGAGGCCTGCCCTCTGCCCTCTGCCCTCTGCCCTCTGCCCTGCCCTGCCCTGCCCCCTGCCCTGCCCTGCCCTGCCCTGCCTGCCCTGCCCTGCCCCTGCCTTAAGGCGAGCATTTGAGGAGGAGAGTGAGCTTGAAGATGAGTGTGATGATGGTGTGGAGTCTGGGGACTACCCTGCCCCTGTTGTCTGTGAAGTTAATGATGACGAATTGGAAGCCCATATGCATGATCCTGTCATCAAGGAGGACCCACTGCCGCCTAAGGAGCAACCAGATCCTAGGGAGAGTCCTGGGATAAAGGCCCCTAAGCCGTTGAGCCCAGACACCGAACGCTGGCGCCAACATATCCTGAACGGACACCTCCCATATAGGAGGGATTGTAGGCAATGTGTAGAGGGTGCAGGACTTGGTGTGTTCCATAAGCGCATCAAACACCCGAGATCGTTCGCGTTGTCAGTTGACCTCTTCGGTCCCGTTCCGCCCGCAGAGGCTGGGAAGGACGAGTCGTGCATCACAGGGAAGACTATCTTGAGATACGGACTTGTGGGTGCATTTAGGGTACCTCGTTCGATCCTTAAGAAAGGGGATGGAGCAGATGGGATTAAGGATTTGTTCAAAGGGGATCCTAAGGTGTCTGTGCCAGGGGAAGATGAATTAGCCGGGTACGAACCTTCAGAACCATCCGAAGAGCTCTTCCCGGAACTCTTTTCCAATGAGCCTCCACCTTTGCCACCTCCAGCAGATTCACCACCTAAAGTAAGTGGGGTGGATAGTGACGTTCAAATCCCGCAGTCCCTCTGGGAAGAGATCGATCTCCCAACCGACGAAGAGGGTATGAGGCAGATCATTGAAGAAATGAGCACCCCTGTTGACCAAGTCATGTTGAGGTATTGTATTCCTCTTAGGACTAAGACGGGAGTCGAAGTCACGGAAGCGGTTCAACGCATGATCCTTGAGATAAACCAAAAGTATCCTGTGTTGAGCTTGCACCATGACCCCGGCACTGAATTCTCGGCCTCTGCACTGAGCAGATGGCTCTCCGAACACAAGGTGCGAGTTCAGCATTCACTACCGACTGATAAGAGAGGCAATGGCCTCTCTGAGCGCACCGTAGGATGGGTAAAGTCTAGGATAAGGACCTTGCTGAACGGTGCACAGCTTCCCATAGAGTTATGGCCTCTAGCTGCAAGATGGGCGGTAAGTAAGCACAATGCTTTGGTCACCGGAGACTTTGATATCCCAGCCTTTGGACAAAAGGTTTTGCATCGGGTGAAACGCCCCGCCGACGGGACAAAGCAACTCATGGAGCGTTGGATTGAGGCAAGATATGCTGCACCACACCGGTCAATCCCCGATGGCCACGTTCTGATCACTAGCTCTGGGACCCTTGTAGCCTCGAGAGGCTTTAAGTCTGACGTAGTCGACCCTACCCAACTTGACCTAAATCTTCCCATCCTACAGGAGGATGAGACTCTTGAGGACTTACCAGCGGAGCGCTTTGACGAGTCTGGAAACCCCCTGATAAGGATAAAGGGAAAATCGGCAGTTCGGTTTGTTGAATGCATCGGTGGGACATCCTCCGAAGAAAGGGCTAGAGAATTCTTGGTTGCTCAAGACTACGGTTTGAGGGCAATTCGCGAGGTCCTCTCTGCAGTCACCCAGGAGGAGACAGCCCTTGGAGACCGCCGAGGTATTGTTGAGGACCGTCAGATCTTTGGTGCCTACTGCCACGGAGGCCTCCGTGGAGTGACGAACCGCACCAAGAAGAAACCCTTGACAACCAGGTTCCTTAATCGAGCATTTAGGACCCGTCTTGCTCAGCAGGCAGAGGTCTCTGATCCTACGTGGTCCGCCATAATGCTGATGAAGGTTGGAGATGTAGAGGTTCATAGGGACTGGAGGAATGAGTGGGGAACTTTGAATCACGCTATGCAAGTTCCAGGAGAGGTTCAGCTGTGGGTCGAGCCCAGGTCCGATAAGTCCATGAAGGATAAGGGTGTGCCTGAACCCACCTGGAATTCGTCAGAGACACGAGTTCTCACTGAGGACCCACAGTCGTTCGACCCTCGTCAGCATCATGCTGTAAGGGTGCAGCCCAACTGGTTGATAGTAGGGTATACTCCATTGGGGACCAATAAACTTAAGGAGCATGACAAGTGTTGCCTGGTAGCCTGTGAATTTCCTCTTTCTGAGCCAATACAGGGAAGACCTGATGATGGACCTGTTTGTGCCAGTGCTCTAGGTCACAAGGTGCAGGCTGTGTCTGTGACGTCAGAGGACTCCTCTCAGTCCACAATCAGCTCTGGAGAGTTGCAGCGTCAGATCGATGAAGCTACTCTCGAAGCAGACCCACCACATCGACCTCTAGTGTCAATTGAGTCTGATTCGCAGCCGGATGCCAACACAACCCTGATAGGTTGAGACTTTAGCACTGGTGACCCCGGTGATAAACCCCTCCCTAATCTCGCTAATGTAGAGCTTGATGCCTACCTCCGCGTGAGAGGGGTAAGTGAGGCATACACCAGGCTCTCGACTTTGGGTGTAGAGACGCCAAGTGATTTGCAGTTCCTGTACTTAGAGGACCTTGTGGAATTCGGTTTTACCCAAGAAGTTGCTGAGCGGATTATGTTCGGTATTCACCCTCCCGGAACCAGGCGACCAGATAGCCCACAGTTGTCATGCCTGATGTCAGGAGAGGTTCGCCTTCTTGATAGAGGTCAGAGGCCAATCCCGTGGATTATTCAGAATCGCACACTGTCCCAGAGAAGTCCGGGACCGCCGCTTGCAGGTTTAGGATGTAGACAGCCGGATGCTAAGCGTGTCAGTATGCACCCTGCAGTTGAGGAGGAGGAGCTTCGAGCTCCTAATCCGTTGGACTTCCCTGAGCAACCTGAGGTAGACCCAACGGATTTCCCCAACCCACGGTCCTCGCATGAGCCATCTAGCTCTTCGACGGATGCACCGCGTAGAACTCATGCTGCTGAACAAGCGGTAGAGGACTACCAGTACATGATGTATATGCAGTCCCTGTGGGGAGATGATGAGTGGGGAGCAGGGGGAGCCTCAGCAACATCAGAGTCTGCTCCGCTAACGAGCGGTGAGCCTGGCCAGCAGAATGCATCTGGATCTGGTGTAGCGTCTAGTGCGCAGCACCTAGTAGGGGAAAGTAATAGTATACCGGAGCAACCTGAGGTAGACCCGACGGATTTCCCTACTCCACGGTCCTTTGAAGATTTTAGATGTAGCGCTGTGCAGGTGTCTGGCCACATGAGTTTGTCAACGTCCGAAGAAATAGAGGATGAATCTATAGAGCCACAGAGTAGACTGTCCAATAACATTGTGCCAAGAGTTATCGGTGTCCCGACGGATGATCCGTTGTCTACTATGTCGAGTGGAGTAGCTCGCGATGCTCCGGCCGAAGTGAAGAGACTCGAGGAGACTTCCTATACCCAGAACGTCGAAGACCTCTTGGCCAACTTACAAGGTCCGTTGGAGGTGGTACATAACGTGTCGCCTGCCGAGGTCCGTCAGAATTTGGCAAAGTGGCGCCCGGCCGCTAAGACAGAACTGGAGACGTTTGAGGCCATGGGAGTTGTACGCAAGTTTTACGGTACGGAGGCACGCGCAATTCTGAGAGACCCGAATTACGAGGTTATACCTGGGAAGCCTGTATGTACGGTGAAACCAGGAGAGCCATTCAAAAGGAAATTCAGAATTGTGTCGTGTGGAAACTTCGCGAAGACTACTGCGGAGTCACAACTGTACGCCGGCGGAGCTGGCGCAGAGTCACTGAGGACGCTGCTAGTGCACTCGGCTCGTCGAGGCCGACGAGCGTATGGTCTGGATGTGAAGTCTGCCTTTCTCCTAGCCTCAATTCCACAGGGAGTCACGAAGCGTTATGCAATGCGACCTCCTCGCCTTTTGATCGACCTTGGACTGGCACGGGAGGACGAGATTTGGATCATAGACAAGGCTCTCTATGGATTTAGAGAAAGCCCCCGTTGGTGGTCCTTGTTCAGAGACAGTTTTCTGGCAGAGGCCAAGTGGAAGACAGAGCTGGGGGAAGTTACCTTGGAGCAACTCACGTCAGAGAGTGACGTGTGGCGTATACGACATGAGTCAGGTGAGTGCATTGGCCATCTGCTGGTGTACGTGGATGATATTTTGGTGCTATCCGAGCCGGAGGTAGCAGAGTCATTCATCACATGGCTTAAGGGGCATTGGGAATGACTGGCCTGAAGGAGGCCACTACCACGAGCCCTCTGCGATTTCTTGGAGTGGACATCTATGCTGAAGAGGATAGCGAAGGTACCCTTGTGGGCTTCAGCTTACAGCAAGAAGCATATATTGATGAACTCCTGAGGAGCCATGACACGAGGCTGAATGGCCGGGCGACAGCACCAGTGCCAAGAGAGTGGGTACGAGAATTACCCCCTACCGAGGAGATCTCTGAGGAGACGCTGCGAGCCGCGCAACGCATAACGGGTGAACTGTTATGGATCTCCCAGAGGACTCGATTGGACATTGGTTTCTGCGTTGGCTTGATGGCAAGTTGGGTGTCCCGGTTCCCTTCATGTGTCGCTAAGATTGGTGGCAGGGTGCTTGAGTACTTGGCGTCTACGAAAGGCCATAGATTGACTCTGATCCCAGGACGACCGGAAGGCCTCCGCATCTACACGGACGCATCATTCGCTCCTTATGGATCCCACTCGATAAGTGGCATCCTCATACAGTACGATGAGTGCACTGTAGTGTGGAAGTCCAAACGACAGAGTTTGGTTACCCTTAGCACCGCAGAGTCGGAACTTTGCGCAGGATGTGAGGGTGTGACCCTTGCGCAGTCCCTAGAAGCCCTCATAAGGGAATTAGATGGGTCTGTAGGCCTTAAGAACCTGATGGTTGATAATACAGCAGCGGTAACTCTCGCGGAGGGAGGAGGCAGTGTGCGTACAAGACACCTAAGGGTCCGGGCCGCATTTATCCATGACATGCGTAAGCGTGAAGAGTTAGCAGTTAGCCATTGCCCAGGAGACATCCAACTGGCAGACTGTTTGACTAAGGCTTTGATGAAGGGGCGTTTAGAAGAACTCTGTCGCTTGATAGGCTTGGGTCCTTCGGGTTCTATAGGAAAGGTTGCCGCGCTAGTTGCCGATCCTGAGCGGAACCAGCGAGAGGCAGCTGATCAACCGCAGGCCCTTGACCCACTGAGGACCAACCCTAATGATTTCGGTTTAGGTCCTCCCCTAGCCACTGAAGGCCTAGGCATATGGTTCATACTCCTAATCCTTGCAATGCAAGCTGACCGCGCTGATGCGGCAGGAGAGGAAGATGGTGAATCCGAGCCCCTGGGCCTGGGACTTTCCTTGATCATTGTTTTGATGACAATGTCAATACTCTTCTTATGGGAGTCTGGGAAGTCGTGTGCAAGGACTTGTTGCAGTCGATTCGGGAGGAATGATCCAGAAGTTAGGGTTGTACGGGGTCCTAACGATGAAGACTCCAATACCAGGAGAAGTAGAAGGCAAGAGGCGGTTAGGAGGGCAATAGCTAGAGAAGTTGATGCAGGAGACCTAGGTGAGCGGGTGACCGACTCCGATCCTGCCAGTCTCCAGCAAACACCTCAGGTTCATTCCTATGTACATGTACAAGTTGGAGATCGTGACTCCTTCAGTCATGCGCAGGGACCTAGAGGCCCCAGCCCACCACCGACCATCAATCAGCCTACTTCTGCTCCTATTGGATTTACGGAGTCTGCCTCGTCCTCCTCTGGATTTATTCCACCTCCTCCTCCTCCCTATCGGCCTTCCAGTCCTCGATCCGTCTTCCAGGGTCAAGAACATAGCGTGGGAGAGGAGAGTAAGGTCTTGAAGGATGCATCGACCCAGACTGAACAACAGTCAGGTCTGAGTTTGAATGAGTTGTGCGAGCTCCATGTTCTAACCACTTCTAGCAAGACGCCAGGAGCATTGCACCTATTCCCTACCTGTCATGCGCTACGTAACACTATTAGTCCTCAGGACCGCATGTTTTGCAGATATTGTTTACAAGCGCTCAAGGAAGGGAGACTTCAGAGGTGACACCTTTCCATCTTTAAAAGATGATGCAGGTGAGGAGGAGTGTAGATGTGTGACATTCCGTAGCCCTGAAGGCTGAAGGTGGAGCAGAGCTCCATGTGAACTGCCATGATCGGCAGAAGCCAGCATGTGAATGATAGGCTTGACACATAGCATAGGCTAGTTCCGAGAACAGCACGTTGTGTCGCCGTTGAGAAAAACAATTCGACGTTCCGTCGTAAGCCCATGGTGATACGCCCCTGGTCTGTGCATTGAGCCTGACTGTCATTACAACTTACATGGCTACGGACACCAACAACCCAAATGCCCATGATCTACCAGGGCATCGACAATAATCCATACATATATATATATATATATATATATATATGGAGTATATAGCTAGCAGCTTGGCGAGCGGGTTTCTTTCATCGGGCACAGGGCTTTCATTCGGGTTCTAAATGTTTTCCAGCTTAAAGGAGCCCATGGCTCCTGCCATGATATGAAGCCACCAAAGCTTAAAGCGCGAAGCACGATACCATCGTAAATCCCCGAACACCACAAACACCGAAACCCTAAACCCCGAAACCCCTAAACCCTAAACCCAGGAGCCACCAGAGCTTAAGACCAGAAACCATGTGTTACGATTGAGATCGATCACCGGGTCAGTAGAAACCCCAAGCGGCAACAGCACAGGTTAAATCGAGGTTAAATTTAACCTCGAATTAACCTCCATTTAACTTTCAAACAAGAGCTGTTACAAAGTTAAGTTAACGATTTAACTTAAGTTAAACTGAGGTTAAATTTAACCTCCATTTAACCTCGCATCTGTTTCTTGATGTGTTTCAATAATTCATTATCAGCCCGCACAACAGTGGCAACAGACCAGAAACCGTTGCAATTGTTGGCGACCAATCCTATATACGTACCTTGGAAACACGAGCGCCCAGAATACACCAGCATCCGAAACCACAGCAGAAAACCATACTTAGCCCCGGCCCTTGCCTATAGGAGCCTGTGGCTCCTTACATGCACAAGCTGCCCATTGGTCACCATCCCAGGTGCAACGTGCCCGAGTTCTGCTGGCCTGCCTGCTTGTTTTTTGCAGTTGCAGTTGCTGTTCTGGAATGCAGCGAAAGCAGGAAGTGCGTAAGCTTTCAATATATCAAGATCTAGGCTCGAACATTGTTTCTCGATCTTTGCCCCGGTGTAGCAGCACCCATGCCTCCCAAGAAGAAGACCGGCAAGCAAGCCACCGATGCAGCAGATAAGAAAAAAGCTACCAGCAACATGCTGGGACAGTGCGAGCTGGCCAGGCAGAAGCTAGAGGCTGCTAAGGCCCAAGGCGACCAGGGGGACCCCAGCCTAGTAGAGGACCTTGAGAGGAAGGTAGCATTCCTAGCGGAATACGAGGCTCTGCCTCTCCGTGACAAGAAAAAGGATGCAATGCTGCAAAGCTGGTCCCAGGATAAGAGCCTAAAGTCCTGGGCCGAGATGCACTGCAACTATACCCAAGACAAGGGCACCGAGTCCCGGGATCGCTCGAACTACGGCACCAAGCAACTTCGGAAACATATGCGTGGAGCTTTGGGTGTCGGGGTTGGGTTGGGTAGTAGGAGCTGACAGCTACCTTGGCAACGGAGGTTTTCAGTGAAGCTATATCAGGCTTGAGGCTCAAGGTTTTCATTCAGATTGTGTTACCCAGCCTAGAGGAGCCCAGGGCTCCTGAAAGACCAAACCCCGAAAGTACCTACTAAACCCTAGAGCCCCACAAATTTTCTAGAGCCCCGTAAACCTCTTGACTTAAGAAGGACAACCCCCGAGGAAGGCCAGAAATGATTATGGATTGCTAGTTCACAAACCATTTTTTTTGAGCATTCGGATCATTAGCTATCTAGCTTCAAGGAGCCCAGGGCTCCTGAAAGACGAGACCCCAAACCCTAAAGCCCGAAGCCCCCTAAGAACCTCCAAACCCGGAAAGCTTAAACCCCCAAACCCCGAAACCCCTTCACCCCCAAAACCCCGAAAAGGACAGATTGTGGATCTGTTATATATATATATATATATGTGTGTGTTTACACTTGCTTGCAAAGGTACGAAGTTGCGGCTATGCTGAAGCTGGACGTGAAGGACCCAGCTCAAAAGCGTATCCTCGAGGAGACCTTGAAGGACATGGATTCCGACTCCGACTGGGACGAGTCCAACCCCTTGGAGATGGCCATGAAAAAGCAGAAGCTTCGTCGTTACACTTGGACAAAACATGAAGGCACAGAACACACCATGGGTTCCAAGGAGAGCACGTCTGTCGTCGTGAGCAAGGATGTGACGAAGCACGTGGCGCAGGCAGGTTTGAAGATGATCACAGAAGGAGCATCCTCGGCGACCGGCACCACCCCCAGCGTGAAGATCGAGCATGTGTGGGTGCTTCCGGCGGAGAACCTGCTGAAGGACCTCAACACCTTGTTGGCCAAGCTCAAGGGCTACACGAGTGCTTTTAAAAAGTCGCGAGTGCAGCTTAAGGCATCCCCGAAGGCAGCGGAAGCGGCTTGGCTTATGCGTTTCAATTTAACATAGATAATACAATTTTTATATACGTCTTTATGTACGTTTTGGATTGTGGCATGTACATATATATATATATATATATATATATATATATTTGTGTATATACTCAGGCTCCTGACTTGAGCGGCCCCATCCAAAAGCTGGACGAGCTGGAGCATGCTATCTTGGAGTTGACAATGAAGGATCCGAAGAAGATGGACGAGAACGAGTGCAAGACTTACGTGGAGCAGTGCCAGAGCACGTTGCAATCGGGGAACCTGGTGAAGGACATGTCTGAAGAAATGAAGAAGAAGTGTAATGGTCTGCTCAGGACGAACTCTAGCAGCTCGATTAAGTAGATGGCGAAGGCACTGCCAAGAAGCGTGTTTGCTCGAGCCTGTCTAATAAGTACTTTTGTTTGCTTCCTACTGAAAGGCTGATCTGTACAAAGATCGTTTTGGCCTGGACGGGACGATTGCAGCTGCGAAAAAAGCTCTGTTTCGAACAATGTCAGATCTGAGATGCATGGGCCATGCATGTGAGACGGTGCAGGCATGCATTATATATGCTGGACCAGTGGCTTTTGCTAGGACGTCGCAACTGATCGTTTCGAGATCTTCACCTTCGTATACAATATATTTCTTGAGATATATATATATATATAAGGGTTTAAGGTTTAGGGTTTAGGGTTTAGGGTTTAGAGGGCCAACCTAGGGTATATACTAGGGATCAGAGAGAGATCGAGAAGGAGAGAGAGAGAGAGAGAGAGAGAGAGAGAGAGAGAGAGAGAGAGAGAGAGAGAGAGAGAGAGAGAGAGAGAGAGAGAGAGAGAGAGAGCGAGAGGAGAGAGAGAGAGAGAGAGAGAGAGAGAGAGAGAGAGAGAGAGAGAGAGAGAGAGAGAGAGATAGAGATAGTGTGTGTGTAGTTTTTGTTAAACATTCTGCCAGGAACAGTAACACAGCTAGTGCAGTACAGTTAATGTACAGGAACAGCCGTCACGCACACGCGACGTGCAGGCTCGAGACCCCAGGACACACCGTGCCCAGGAACAAAAGTGTCCGACAGTCTTTGTGGGTAGGAACCCTTAGTGAAGCCCGTTCTTTAACATGGTAGCGGAGCTGCCTCCAGGAACCTCCTTGGCAGCGATGATGCTACTCGTAGCCATAGGAACCATGATGCTCGGCGCCATGGCAGTTTGCCTCGTTGCCGGATGGAAGCAGATGCGCGCAAATGAGCAGATCACCAAGAAGACGGAGACAGTGCTCAACATGCCCACGCTCAGGATCGCAGTCCGTTCAGGAACAAAGTACCACCGCAGAGGTTGTGGACACCTTCGCAACCACAACGTGACAGCAGGAAACGCGCGAGACTTTGACGCTTGCGCCGATTGCTACCCTGACCGAGTGTTGGTGGAAGAGAGAGAGAAAAGGAACATGAAGTGCTACGGTTTGGCAGCATGTATGGTGCTGCTGGTTGGTTTCGCACTGGGAAGCCTCGCAACTTTGGAGAAAGGAACTCACTTACGTGGAGAGCGACGAGAGCGAGCTCATGGCAGTGTGGTCGAGCAGAAGGAAGCCCAATACGCACCGGAACCGCTACAGGAACTATGACGTGTACGGCGAGTACTACCAGCAAGGCTACAACGAGTGCAGCGTGAACCCCGACGGCACCAACGTGAACACGATCAGGAACACAAACGCGTACACGATTAAGGACTATGTGGAGATAGGAAAAGTCATGGTACCGTACGCTTTGTTGTGCGTGAACCAAGTGATGAACGAGCTCTACAGCGTCGTTAGCGTGACCGGCGAGTACTACACGGAAGAGAACAGGAACGGCAATCAGAACACCGAGAACCAGGAGAGTGAGAGCCTTGAGTCAGGCTACGCCCCTAGGTACCTAGTAAAACAACAGCGAGAAGTACTGAGGAAATTTGTACAGGAACATGTTCGCAGTTTCGTAGAAAAGCTAGCAACTGTAGGAAAGAAGTTTCACGACGTCGTGCATGTGATAGTTCAGGAAGTCATTTCCAACAGAGTTGTATTTCAAGGAATTCGCATAGCAGTGTTCTTAGGAACCCCAATGGGACTGATTACTTGGATCACCCTGTCGTACTATTCTAGTGTGTTTTTCGCAAGAGCAAGCAACCGCTCAAAGCACCAAAGGAAGACAAGAGGAGAAAGGAGAGCACAAGCAGTGAGCAGGAAGCAGTGCAAGTCGCTACTTTTAGCAGCACTAGTGTACAGCAACCTTGAAACAGCAAAAGGAATGGAGGATGCATTGAAGGCACTTGCCGAGATCAATGCACAGACCTTACAAGGAATACAAACACTAGCAGAGGAGATCAGGAACTCAGCAGCTTCAGGAAGTCAAAGAGAAGCAGGACTTACACAAGCATTCCAGGAAACCCTGACAGCAGTTCAGGAACAGCAGAAGACAGCGCAAACAGCGTTGGCAGACGCCCACACGAATGCAGCAACGACACTTGAGGAGATAGGAGCATCTCTGGAGAAAGCAGTAAAGGAACAAAGAAAGCCTGGAGAAGTGGAGTTGCACAAGCTGATTAAAAGCCCCGAAGCATTTTCCCCAGGAACATGGCAAGAAGAGAAGAGTGGATGGACAGAGTTCAGGAACAGGATGCGGATCTGGCTTGGAGCAGTGGATTCCAACATGGTGAAGATCATGGACATCGCCGAAAGGAACTTAAAAGATGATAAGCAAGTGAAGATGGCTGAGATGTCTGCAGAAGCAAAGGAAACAAGCAGACGCCTGTACAGTGTTCTTTGTTCATACACTAAAGGAAGGCCGTACCGAGTTGTAAAGCATGTAGCTGAGGAGAACGGTATGGAAGCTTACCGTATGCTACTCAAGGAATATCAACCAACGAATCGTGCGAGATCGTTGGAGTTGTTTCACAACATTCTCAACTACAAATTCGCTCACAACAAAGGAATTGCTGAGAATATCCTCGAATATGAGGAACACATCGAGAAGTACGAGAAGGCTACTGGAGAAAAGGTACAGGAGAATTTGAAAGTATCTACTCTTATTCAAGGTATGAAACCTGACGTGAAAAGGCACTTGTTGCTCAACATGGATGAGAAGACACAGTACAATACTCTTCGTCAGTACCTTGTGAACTATGAGTCAACCGAGCGTTGGACTAACTCTTTAGCAGCCCAGCAAGGAACACCTCACCGAACCACAACAGACTTGATCGACAAAGGTGATGACCATGGTGGTCTTGCAGCAATGGATATCAACCAAGCATGGTACAAAGGAAAGAAAGGCTATGGCAAAGGTTATGTTCACCATAAAGGCAAAGGTAAAGGAAAAGGCAAGAAAGGTGGAAAGGACTTTGGAAAAGGTTACGGCTTTGACAGCAAAGGCAAAGGTAAAGGTAAAGGTTTCGGAGGTTTTGGCAAAGGCAGAGGTCGAGGCAACTGGAAAGGCCGAGGTAGAGGTTTCAGAGGTTACAAAGGAAAAGGCAAAGGTCGAGGAAGAGGTTTCTTCAGACACAAAGGAAAAGGTAAAGGCAAAGCCCAAGCAGCTACAGGAGTGTGTCACTACTGTCATAAGTATGGACATTTCGAAGCACAGTGCAGACAGAAGATGCGTGACATGGGTTACCAGGCCAGGAACGTTGACCTTGAAAACCAGAGCGAGCAAGCAAGCACTACAGGTACTTCAACTCAGGCCCCTTCGTCAGCCAACAAGACCTCAACAAGCCAAAGCCAAGCAAGCCAAGGAACCCAAAGACCAGTGATTAGGATGGTCTCCATGTACCACATGGGAGACGAGCCCACAAGCTTTCCGGAGGAATTCGAGCTGAGTGAGAACTCTGAAGAGATAGAGATTGAGTACTTCGGAAGAGTTTTGCGGGTTGTTGGTGAAGAAGTTCAGGAAGAGAGGAGTGAGACAGAAGAGTTTTGGATTGGTGATGAAGATGATGAGTTTCAGGACTGTGATGAGGTGAGTGATGATGCATGGTTGCAATGGCATCTAGAAGGAACTCCGATAGGAACTCAGGATCGTGGATACTACTTTGAGTGTCCCAATGGATGTCATGAAACACCGTGGCACCCAAACATGCAGGAATGTGAGAACGGATGTCACCATCCTCCTAGAAGGAACAGAGTAGAGAGAACAGCACCCTCAAGGACCATCACCAGGTTTGCGCGTGCAGCAAGGAACGCGAGAACTCGAGAGATCGAGGTCGTGCTGGATTCAGGAGCTGACATTTCATTGGCACCGATGTGGATGAAGAAGTATGGAAGAAAGGCACCCAACACTACCAAGGTAGTTTTGCGAGATGCACAAGGATCCCGGATTAAAGTTTCAGATCAAAGGATCATTGAAGTTGAGTTTCGGGATGTTCAAGGAAACATTGTGAAGGTTGAAGAAGTGTTCTTGATTTCATCGGTTGTGCACCCTCTTTTGGCAGTAGGTAAACTGTTGAAGAAAGGCTGGGAGTTCAGAGATGGAACAGCAACAGGCACTTTCCTAACAGAAGGAACAACCAAGATCGCAGTGAACTACAACAACAACTCACTTACAACAAAAGCCTTTGTGAGAGCAGTCAACTGGGAAGCAGAAGCAAAACCTATCCCTATGTACTTGTGCGAGAACTTAAAGGAACTCATTGAAGAACAGCGTGTTGGTTGGACCAACTGGCGAGACCCTTACCAAGTCCACTTCAGCCTAGGAACCTCAGAACACGTTGATACTTACTTGATGTTTCCACCAGGAAAGTTCGCATATCGAGCAGTGCTTATTGAGGATGATGATCAGTGGTATTTGTTGCATCACAGCATCATGTTTGAGGAACTTGAGGAACCGTTTGGAACAATCTTCGATGGCAGTAAGGAGTACCGCACGCTTACGCTAGTATCGCTCAAGGAATTTCCGCTGAACCTCATAGGCACCCCCAAGGAAGATGAGGATCGAAAGATGTTTGAAGAGTACACTGAGGATGCATGGTCAATCAGCATGGATGGCACTACACTCACGAGGTACCATAACTCGTTGAGGAAGACTTTGTTCAATCCTCGAGATACCAATGACATTCCAGTAGACATTGGAAACCTCAAGCCAGACAGGTACACGTATGGAGAAGAACCGATCAATAAGGATTTCTTTGAGGATGACAAGTTCTGGACTTTGGATGAGCCTCACAGAGACCCAGAACCACTAGGAGGTTTATCCTGGACAGGACGGAGTGTATTCGAACTCATTGAACCAGTGAACCCCAAGGCCAGAAGACCAAAACAGAAGGTTCACCAACTGGACACGATCCCAGAACAGGAAGAAGAACAGGAAGAGACCTCAGAGGCCCAAGCACCAGCACACAGGCATGAAC